CCTCCCCCTGCATTCTAGGCACACTTTTTTTTCTCTCTCAGTGCTTAAAGATATCATTGCATTGTCATCTGCCTTGCATTGTTTATGACAAGAAGTCTGTGTTGATTCTTGATACCCCTCCCTGTATGTGTGCCTTTTTAAAGATTTTTCTCTTTCACACTGGTTTTTAGCAACTTGAATATAAAGTGCCTTGATTTCCTTTGTTTATCCTGCTTGGGGTTTATTGAGCTACGTGGATCTTCTAGTTTTTATCAGATTTGGCGATTTTTCGGCAATTATTTAAAAAGATATTTTTCTGCCCCCACCTCTCTCTTCTCGTTTCCTCAATACAGTGTGTGAAACTGGTTGATGCTGTCGCTCAGGTCCCTAGGGTCCTATATATTCTCCGCCCCACACCCCCGTACTTTAGATAGATGGCTTCCATTTCCATCTTCAGATTTGCTGATTCTTCCATAGTGTCTGATCTGCTGTAAAGCCTGGCCAGTGAAATCTTCACTATAAACATTGTATTTTTCCTTCTCTAGCAATTCCATGTGGTTCTTTTCATACCTCCCATCTCTCTCCTCGTTGTGTTCATACTTTACTTTAAATCCTTCAGTGTATTTATGATACCTGTTTTAAAGTCTTTACCTGCCAGTTCCATCACGTCTGGGTCTGTTTTTATTTTCCTGTTAGTTGTGAGTTGTAAGTGGTGGCGTTGTCAGATGTCTAGTATTTTTTGGAAGGGTGCCATATATTTAGAATGGCACAGTGCTGGGTGGATTTTATGATCTTCCACTAAAAGAATGGTGATGTTTGTTTTGGCAGGCAGTTAAATTACTTGTGGATCAGACTTACTGGGCAGGTCTAGGGCTACTTAGCCTTTAATAAGGCTAAAATATGGCATTCTGGGGGGTCTGCTGAATGCCCCAGGTGCTTGGCATGGTTTTTCTCCTCAAACTGAGTAAAATTCAGATAGCTTATTCTGTCCTTGGTGAATGCTAGGGCTTGTTCAGCTTATGATTTCCTAGTAGTTCTTTGCCTGACCTCAGTTTTATCCAGTGAATGTGCATATAAGCACCTTGTCTAAGACTCTGGGATACAACTAAGCAGAAGTCTGCAGGTCTCTCTCTGTGTAGAACCCTCGTCCCTGGTCCTCTGCCTGTACGAAGTCCAGCTGCCTTAGCCTTGTAAAACTCCCCTCCTACCTCCTCCATTTAGCAAGGCTGCTGTTCTGCTTGGGATCCTCCCCAGCCCTGTACCACGTGCCGTAAATTACCTCCAAGTAGAAAGACAGAGCATAGGGCTCAGCTTGCTTGTGCCTCCACCTCAGGGATAATGGTCCTAACGGCCTGTCGTTCTTATGTCTGAAAACAGTTGGTTCATATACTTGGCTCATTTTCTCGTTGTTTATGGGTAGATGGCAAGTTCCGTACCATTTGGGTGAAAGGGGAAGTAGCCGCTCATCCTTCTGTGAGTGTACCAGTTATTTGTCACACCAACAGGCCCTTATACATATGTCCACTCTGCCTGGGATGCACTCCTGCCATTCCATCTAGTGGATTCCTGTTCATTCCTGGAGGCTCAGAATAAGTGTCATCTTTCTAAGATTTTTTTTCTCTTTCCTTCCAATTAATTGCTCATTTGCTAAGTTATCAAATCACTTGATATATAACTTCACACGCATGTGTATTTATGCATACACATTCCTAAAATTATCTTTCGTCTTTCTCTTCCCAGCTAAAACTTATAATTTATCTTCCTTGGCCTAGCACATAGCACAGGGCCTCTAACGTATTTGATTGATATTTGTTGAATTTGAATAGTGAGGGAGTAGAGATCCAAACTGGGCCTCTACATGGGATAGAAACGGAAATGCTCGTTTAGGTAGAAAAAGGAGTGTTTGGTGCCTAAGTTTGGAAGCTGTGATCCAGCTAAGGTGCAAGCAGCCAGGGAAAGTCGTTACCCTTAGCTTCTGAGCATCATTTATAGGCTCTGAGTAATGTTGACAGAGAGGTACTTACAGCTTTCTGAGGACCACTGACTAGAAAATTGAAATTCACCGTTCTTAATATTTTGTGTAAAAATCGTTTTGGTGGAAAATTTTTGGAAAAGCCCTTGAGTTAATTGTTTTGTAAAGCCCTTGAGTTAATTGTTTTGTAAAAGATATTTGGGTAAAAAGTTAAATGAATTCTTTTCTTTGTAATTTTAAAGTTGTGGAAAATAAGCGCTGCTGGAGTAAAGTGCACTGTAATAAAGCTGTGGAAGTCTTGCCGTAGTGAAAGGGAGACAGAGCAAAACTGTGCTGCTCGAGCACACACAGCGGTGTGAAGCACCTTCCTTCCCACACAGACTTCTGTGTGAAGGAAGGTGCTTTGTGCGAAGTAGTTGGTAATATTCTTGTGTTTTCTGTTACCATACTTGACAGATGCTTTTAACATCTCAAGTTGTTCCTTAGTAAAATTTTACTTGGTTCCATTAGTTAATATGACAGTTAAATGGGTCAGGCTTAAATGTAAGTAGGATGAGATGATATGGTGGTCGTACGTTGTACTGAGAGGGTATGTTAAGTCTTACTGATGGCTCAAGGCTGGCTTTTACAGTTTTTTTTATTACAATAGGCTGCATTTGAAGTACATCCTTGAAAATTTTTAGAAAACTAGTTCTGCGCTTCACATTTTGTGCTTATGTGAACTGCTTACATTCTTGGGAAAGCAGAGAGGAAAACCCTTTTGTTAAAGCGAGAATGGGTAAACCTCATAGTGGAAGGACTAATGAGAAATTGTTCTTAAACTTTAGGTGAAGAAATCCTTGTATTTATGTAAATTGACCGCTGTTGAATTTTATTGTGGGTGGTAGTGTTGAGCTGAGAGGCCCAGAGGACGGTAAATTGAGACTGGCGAACTTTTGCAACCAAAATGCATTTGTCTGTCTCAGCTGAGGAAAACAGGCAGTTGTGAGTGTAGCCTTCATGTGCAGGGGACGCCGTGGACCGCACATCGCATCCTGGTGCATCTCTAGCTGCTGCTGCGGCCGAGTGCACTCAGCGCGTGCTAACTGCCTGCTCAGCGTACAGCACTGCCGGGCTGTCACTAACTTACTGCTCGGTTCTGTTGTCAGTGCTCACCCTTTCCTTCCTCATGAGTTACGCATCACTTCAGCTTTGCCGGAATATGTGCTGGCCATTTTACAGTAAATTACATAAAAATTGTTTTGATGCTTTCATGTATGGTTTTCTCATACTGTAATTAAAATATAATTGTCAGTTGTATAGGTTTAACCAGATGAAAATTTGAATCAGCCAGCGAGTTATTTTCTTTCACTCTCACCACCTACAGCTTTTCAGCTAAACTTAAATAGGTTCTTAGCTGACTTTGGTGAAAATTTTTGTTTCCTTTTATAGACAGAATTTGGAAAGTAGATTGCCCTAACAAAAAAAAAGGAAGGAAAGAAGGCTGGAAGGAAAGAACTAAATTATCTTATGAAAAGGAAACGAACGAGTAGCTTTTGTTTGACAGTAGCATGGCTGTTTGCAGATGCGTATTTCACATTAATTTTTATAACAACTTCATGGAAGCAATCCAGTCTTTTTTAAAAAAAAAAAACACATAAAGGAAAATTTGAGATAGGACATGAGCTGTCATTTATGGTAAGAACAAATTGTTAAAATATGGAATTTCTGCTGAAGGGAAAGAAAAATTGTAAATGATTTGTTTCTTTTATTGGCAAAATTATTCAGAGGAAAAAAAAAAACTGAGGTGCTTTGGCCAGAGGGTGGAAGAAAGTTTAAGTCCGTACCGCTCTTTTGGTGAGCCTAGGTCATATCTACTGAAATTTCAAAAGCACATTCCTTTCACACCAGCAGTTTCATCCCAGTATCTACGTTGAAGACTACTTACTGACACAGGCACTGACAGGAACCTTCACACACCTTCGCATCACAGCATTGTTTATAATCATGAATAATGAAAAAAAAAAACCTAAATGTCCTTCAAAGGGGAATGGCTAAATAAACTATGGTTTTTCTATTCACAAGTTTGCAGGAATTAAAAATTCTGAGGTAGGACTTCTCTGGTGGCGCAGTGGTTAAGAATCCACCTGCCAATGCAGGGGACATGGGTTGGATCCCTGGTCTGGGAAGATCCCACATGCCCCAGAGCAACTAAGCCCACTAGCCACAACTACTGAATCCATGCGCTGCAACTACTAAAGCCCGCGCCTTCTAGGGCCCCACGTGCTGCAACTACTGAGCCCACGTGCTGCAACTACTGAAGCCCATGTGCCTAGAGCCCGTGCTCCGTGACAAGAGAAGCCACCACAACGAAGAATAGCCCCTGCTCGCCTCAACTAGAGAAAGCCCGCCTGCAGCAATGAAGATCCAAGTCAGCCAAAAAATTTAAAAAATAAAAGATAAAAATTATGAGATAGATATAAAACCATCATGGAAAAGACTCTTAAGGCATGTTTAAGTAATTAAAAAAAGTAATAGAACAGTATCAGTTAGAATGTTGCCATTTATGTGTCTTTAAAAATCCAGAAAACTAATATTTTTGTATGCATTTAAATATATTTTAAAAATCTGGAAGGTTGGAGTACACCTGAGTGATAACAGAGCTTACTTCTAAATGTAGCTCTGGACTGGGGGAAGGGTCTTCAATGGAGGGCATTTGCTTTATTTGCATTTTTTACAAAAACAATGTTTTTATGTATTCTGTAACTAAAAATTCTTGAGAATTCTTTTACTTGAAAGTGTGTTAATATATTTTACTACTAAGGTTTAGTTCTTGAAGTTCTGAAGCTGATGTTTTTATTTAGCTTTGGAAATGCTTATCTGAGCTTAAATTTTTACTTAAAAACATTGGATTTCAGCAATGGAAAAAAATGGAAGAAAGTTTACACACATTCACATTATAGTCTATGTAAATAAAGATACCTACTGTGTCTAAATATTAAGAACACAAAGGCTATTTTTAATGAGTCCTCTTCCTTTCTATTGAAAATGTGCTTCTCATCTTCTCTAGTGCTGCTGGGGGTGAAATCTTTGACCAGTGTGTTGCAGACAGAGAAGAAGCCTTTAAGGAAAAAGATGTTCAGAGACTCATGCGGCAGATTTTAGAAGGTGTTCGCTTTTTACACGCTCATGACGTAGTTCATCTTGATTTGAAGGTAAGAGCTGAATTACTTTACAGTTTTGAGGTTGCTGGAGAATGACACTCTAGATGCGAGATATCTCACAGTGGTTTCCTCCAGTATTTGTCAGGTTTGTGTGTTTTATTAGGTAACAAGGATATAAGAATTGAGTCATAACTTGTATCCTCTAGCCAGTTTTATCAGGGAGAGAATGCACATGTGCATACATAGAATGATAAATAATAATACATTGCCCCGGAAATGGAGCTTCGAGGGTATATTGCTGGAGTAGGTGAAGGCTTCCTGGTGGAGACAGGGCTTGAGCTATACCTTTCCAAAAAGTTAGGATTTAGATAGGTAGAGAAGAATAGGAGAAAGTTAACTCAAAAGAGTTAGGAATACTTGTGATGTGTTTGGACAAAAATAAATGGAAAAGTTCCTCTGGAATTGAAAGATGACGTAGGAGATATTGAAAGTTGAGAAAAGGCCAGATTCCTGGGGTTCACATGTCACGGAGTGATAGGTGATTTTTGAGCAGAAATATTTGAAAAGCAGTGTTGTGGAAAATTAGGCAGGCAGCAATAAATAAAATAAATTAGGGAATGAAAGCAATCAGAGGCAGGTAGATTTTTAACTTGAAATTGTCAAAGAAGGAAGGGGAGGAAGGAGGAGAGAAAATACAAAGGGTGGTATCAGTCACCGTCCTTTCAAGTGACGCGGACGCCAGCTGAAAGCAGGGTAATCGAAAGAGGAACTTTCATTGGCTGAAACGTCCAGGGTAACTCTGGCTGCAGTTACACCACTATTCATTCATCCAGATATTGCCGGCACTTGGTTTTTCTTCAGTTCTCAGCTCTCCCTCCTCCAAATGGCAATAAAATGGTGGTGAGTTAGATGCAACCGTTTTTTACCCTCACAACTGCCCTGAGACTCAGCAGGAAAGAGCTGCTCTCAGGTCACTGGCTCATTCAGAAGTCCTGAGACCCACTCAAACCAGCTTAGATCAACCGAGAAAGAATTGGTGCACTGGTCCAGGGTGCAGGGCTTTGACGGCCAGGCCAGTGCCATCGGTGTCACATGCACCCACCTAGAGGGGTCAAGCCCTGCTCCCAGCCCAGCGTTGATGTGGACTGAGAGTGGGGAAGGGATGGGTTCTCAGACCAGTTCCGTTTCTCAAAGACTAGAGAATGGGCGCTCAGGGGACAAACAGTAAATGTCCGCCGCAGGTATTCAGAGCATTTTCCTTCAGGCAGCTGAGGAGAAAAGCGTCTAAGACCCCTGGTGGTTTTCCCATGGTTGCTTCCCTGTCAAGTCCAGGTGGGGCTTTGTGGAAGTGAGACAGTCCCCTAGCACAGAACACACCCCAGGGACTCCGGCGCCATACCAGCCTTGTCAGCCAGAGGAGAGGGGGTGAGGAAGGAGGGTAACCTGACAGGGCCGAACCCCCGGACCCCAAACCACTTTCCTCTCCTGAACTTCTGCGGCCTCGTCTCACTCACCTGCCCATCCACCCTGACCCCTGCTGTCGTATGCTTCCAGCAGAAAGGAGATGCTTTCGGCAGTGGCTCTCCAGCTTTGACCCAGGTCAGTGTCACCTGAAAGGCTTGTTAAAACAAATTGCTGGGCCCCAGCAAGTTTCACATTCAGGGCAGGGCCAGGTGATGCCAGTCCTGAGGTTGCAGGTGCCACTCAGCTGCTGCTGGATGGTACACTCTGTGACACCTTATACACACCGTACTGTACACGTACCGTGCTGTACACGTACCGTACTGTACACGTACCGTGCTGTACACATAGCGTGCTGTATACATGGCAGCGTTTAATCTCTTTTGCACGAAGGAACGCTCTCAAGGAGGAGTGTGCAGTGTATATAACCAGGAAGTGACTCCATAAGTAAACTTGATCGAATTCCATTTGAAATAAGGTGGAAAGGTAATAGGTCATCCTTCAAATGCTAGTTTCCTACAGAAAATACAGGGGAAAGGAAATTATTTGGAAACCTTCTTGTTCTTTTGTGCAAGATGCCAATATTTCATTTTGTTAACAGTTCTTTTTCCTCCGGGACACTGATTTCTTAGTGTAGTGTCTAAAGTGGGCGGTTACAGCACGGCGCCATTTTTCGAAGGCAGGTGTGGACATGTGTGCACCCACGAGTAGTGCAGTGGCCTTAGACATCACCTAGGTGAAACCCTCAGAGCATGCGCAAGGGAGCTGGGGCTTTGTTTTGTCCCTTTAGTGCATCGTATGCATTAGAAATTCAAAGATCCTGGGTGCGGGACACAGCCACTGTGCTTCGCTCGGGAACACTTGCCAGGAAGAGATGGTCTCTGCAGTCCAGACTTCAGTGGACTCAGACTTTAAGAAGCCTCAGTTAGGGCTCCCCTGGTGGCGCAGTGGTTGAGAGTCCGTCTGCCGATGCATAGGACACGGGTTCGTGCCCCGGTCTGGGAAGATCCCACATGCCGCGGA